AGCGAAATACGGTATCATCTGGTACATATAGCCGTGGACCCCACATATAAGAGGCAGAATGCTTTGGTTATGGCTGTGAGACTATGGCTTCGACGATTATATAATATTGGCCGCGTATTAGATTCACTGCAGCCGATGACATTGGAGAGGTATAGTTGCACAAAAACATGTACCGTGACATTACTTTTTCACGCTAAAAAAACTCGTCACTGTGATGATAATAGCAGGTGGTATAAACTCAGTACGTATTATTTCCTTGGTGCACTGTCTTCTATAGAGCACTCGTTCGATCTTTCATGATCTTTCATGATCGAACGAGTGCTTCTATACAGCCCGTTCTGTTATGAAAGGGTAATCGATCGTGATCGGTAACCGTAATCGATGTTCGGTAAATGATATCACCAGGCTCATTCGATCATTACGGAGCGTATTTGATCATGATGGGATTCATTCAGTCATCATAGCACTTATTGGTGATACCTGGGTCTTGTTCAAGGTTGACAGGGCGTCTCCAGAACCAAACACAGAACTTAAAAGGACATTAATCAACGTGCCGCCTTCGTGTTGAAGTCGTGAAGAGATTTCATTGAGCACTGATGTTTGCATGATAACAAGCTGAATCGTAAGGCCGTATTTGCTCTTCGCTTGCTGTATTTGCTTCGCAATGCTGTGTTTGCTCATCTTTTCTTTGCCTCGTCACCCACACCCCCATGAGGAGCTAATAACTCGTGCCATCGCGTTAGCCTTGTTTCACAAACGACGATAGCGGTGAAGTCTAAAGCTGCTACGTGTTTATCTACAACTTATCATGTCTGCGTTATTACGGCGTAGGTGAAAGGCCAACTAGGTCATATCTACTGTCCAGAGTCAATCAAACTTGTAAGAAATATTTCGACCTCAATCATTGTACTCTCAATATTACAATGATTGCTGAAAGTCATCTTTGTTATGTTGCTCCATCTTTTCGGTTATGCGTAATCGATGTGAGTGAGACGATGTGCCCGTGTGATGAACTCTTTGGGTGAGCACACTCTACCAATAAGAACACATACACACATATCTACTAAGCATGCAACACTGTGCGTTTTAGTATCGGGACCTTTTTTTGCCACGAGTGAATTTTTCGTCTGTCGCGGGTGAGGTTTTTCTGCAGCGGGTACGTCTTGTTAAGGGCCGCGTTCGATCCGTCGTCAGCACGTTTGTCAGCACCAATCAAAGCCCAGTATTCGCCCTACGCCACGTAACGTGACCCCAAAGTCACATAACCCGTTATGTCACGCGCCGGCTGTCGATGATGTCAGGATTTTTTGTCAGTCCGCAAGCATGGAAAGAAGGCGTTACCAGATTTAGAAATCCCTCTGACAAAGGAGCGGAAGTTAATTTGGAAGCTTTTGCGTTTGCGGGTACGTTAGGTGGGGTATGGGCACTTGCCTCTAATTTTGAGGGAATGCGACGTAGGATAGATAAGAAGGGAAATAGGCTGCCAAGAGTAGTGATGAAAATGTGAGTAATATTGATAAGTGTGCTGTGTAGTTGCGTTCCTCAGTAAATTTACAGCGATGGAGTAATCGTAAAAGACGGAGAACAGGAGCGAGACGCCACGGGTCTCGAACATTGGCTTTGTCAATCCAAGTTGGAGTTCAGTGAAAGGATGGGCTTCATGCCAACGCAAGGAGCAGTGGAGGATCGATAGATCGTTTGCACATCAAAACGAATGAACAATTAAAATGAGAAGGGAAGACATTGAGATGAGATGGGAATGGGAAAAGGCACACAACTTACGGAGAGGATAGATGATGGTAATACCAGAGCAGGATCCACACTTCCAAACACCACTTTATAGGAAGTGTGTCATGGTGGGCGGTAAGCCAGAGTTAGCGCGTATGGTCTGAAGTGGTTAAAAGATAGAGGAAAAGGGAAAGGTAAAGTTAATACTTTTTCCGTCAGCCCACACATCGAACGCTCCGTCAGTACGTATGACGTCACGCATTCCAGCTGACAGTCATGCTGACGACTGATCGGACGACGCGTAATTGAGCTCGAACCTTAAAGGCTGCATATTCATTGTAGGTATGGGAAACTACTCCATTACCTATCGTGCATTTCTTGTCTTGGAAGCAGAAGTGATTGGTGGATCCAGTAAGCAGATGTTTTTAAGCGCGCGTGCAACAGACGCAAGTTTTCACCAAAGGCCAAAATACAGTCAGTCATAGTGCCTTACTGAAAGTACTTTCTCCCCTTCCTTTGCAAAAGAAGGGGCGTTTCTTGCCCGCAGCCAGGACTTTGTCATTGCCCGGTTGTCCTAGTCCGTGCATTTACGTTTGGAGGAGGTTTGCCATGCACCAATAGGACAAAAAGTTCCCCCCACAACACCCTCTGAATGTAAGCAGGAACCCACTTCTCCGAAACTACCTACTGGAGAAAATCATACTCAAATGGATGTGAGGATAATACGTACAGGACATTTTAGCAAACACAAAACGAACATTAGAACATCATAAAAAAGTGAGAATCGAGCCTGACAAAGACATGGATTCCTGGCAAATACCTTACACTGTTCAGTTATGCCGTTTCACCGTTTTTTATTACTACCTCCTGAAAATTGCACGCCATGTTACAGGACTAAAGCCAGGGCTTTCTTGAGGGGTGTGAACTTAGTGAGCACCCTTCCTAAGAGAACTGAAAGAGCTGTCCATGCTGTTGTATGGACATTGTGTAAGTAAGAAATGTTGGCCTAGGTGAGTTCCCCATCCCCCCCCCCCCTCTCCTCCTCTCCTGGTTGAGCTTCTGCCCTGCTAGCTCTCATCCTGCTAGGGAAGGAGCGATGCGCCCCCATCCCAAGGTTTTCTGGGGTTACCTCTCCGATATGTCGTTCATTTGTGCCCCAATTTTCGGTGGTCTATGGGGCATTCATTGCATGTGTCCCTGGCATTTCTGGCTTCTGGGTAGTGACAGCTTTTCAGGATCACTGCGCAGCGATCATCAGCCGTCGTGAGCGGCCGCCGGCAGCCGGCCATGACGCAAATTTCACGCGGTGGGCTGATATTGCTGCATCAACGGAGCCATATATCATAAACACGTGCTTACAAAACGCGAAACAACATAGTTAAGTTGTCCAGTGCATGACGAGAAACATTAGTCAAATAGATAAGGCAGTAGTATTAACCTTATTCCTCGGCAAAACCAGGAGAAAGAGATATAGTTAGTTGATGTTTCGGCAACATGCCTTCCTCGAAACAATAGCAGACGTGAATAGCATTGATCAGCAGTGACTAGCAGTGATTCACCCCTGCTATTGTTTTGAGAAAGGCATGTTGCCGAAATATCAACCAAACTACACCTCTATTCTCCTGGTTTATCCGATGAATAACGCTAATACTACTGTCTTACCTATGACATAACATACCAACGAACTGAGAATTGAACATCAATTACGCCCGTTTAAAATTTGTGTCACTACCACGCGTGCTCTTGTATGCATCAGCATGTAACGCTGAACAAGCTCGATTGCCAGGAAGATTTCACCTTTGAATTGGCCAAGTGGGGTGAATTAGTGACCTAGGAATATTCAAGTCATTACCAGTCGCAGAATATCGTCGAGACTAATCCACTGCTTTTTTTTGTCTGTGAGGCTCGCTTTCTTCGAGATCAAATGAGGCTTTACGCTCGGGCAAACTCCCGTCCCCAAAAGTCCTATAAGCCTCACAACACCCTTCCTCCATAGACTTCGCTTATCCAGCGCACTAAAGACGCACCAATCAAGAGGCGATGACCGTCATCACGTTTGGTGTCTTCTCCGTCACGAGGATGCATGCTCGGTGGTGAACCCGGCCAGCCGCCCGTTCATGGCCGTTCCAAGTTCCAGGTCCAGGTGTCACGCTGCCAGTTTTCGGACATCGGGCAACGGGGCAGCAGCCAGCCTCGTTTATGCGTCACGACCGACAAGCACCACCGAGCATCGCCGAACCAGTCCAAAATTACCCCCTTTTACTCACCAAAGTGACCCTTATGTCGAGTACCATTACGTCCATGCGTCGCGTCACCCGCAGCGCGCGATCCCTCCTGACGTCGATGACCCTGGCTACTCGGTGCTGATTGGTCAGTGGCTCCAACGATCCGCGCGCTGATTGGCTTTCCGGAAGTGGTGGAGGGCGGAGCGTCGGTGAACGCCGGGCTCGTGCCGGGCACACTTCAGGCACGGGCATAGTCAGTTGGCGTAGCTGAGAGCCCAGATGCGGCCGGGCGCGTGGGGGAGATGTCCGCGCTGCTGCTGTACGCGGCGGTGCCCTTGTCGCCGGAGCTGGAGCACACAGCCTGGTACCAGCAGCGTGTGCAGGAACTCCTGGAGGCAGTCTTGCTGGACAGCGTCGTAGAGCAGTTGGACATGCAGCGGCTGCAAGCGCACAACGGTAAGCGGGACCGCTCGCGGCTTTTGCCGCGTTACCGCTGCCGTGTTACCGCATATCTTCTCGACGATCGTTAAAAAAAACTGTGCTTGGTCATGATGAGTCGGACTGATACTGATCGAGTCGGTTCGCAACAGGTCCCAGCAGTGCGGGCGTTCTTCTCTCGTCCTTCAGACGTCTTGTGAACAGAAAAATTGCGGTGGCATCTGTCACTTCCAGGCAAAATGGGAGCGACTGTCGCTCTAGTTCGGCCTGCCTGAACGACTAGCCGTGCCTGCAGCCGGCGGAGAGCTGCCAGTCTGCGCCGGCAAGCAGCCGAGCAGTCAGCTGGCGCCCGTCAGCAAGTGGCGGCGTGTCCAGGCGCCGTGCATAGCCGAATAGCCGCGCGCTCAAGTTCAAGGCCATCGATTACTCCGGCGTGTTTGTAAACGCTGGCGTGACGTCACACGGCACCGCCAGAACCCGTTGGCGGCGGCACGAGCGTGGCGCCCGCTCACGGAGGTCATCGACCCTCGGCAGGTGCAGCGGCGGCCGGCCGGCCGGCGCCGCCCGGAGCGCCGCCCGAGGCGCCGCCTGAGCGGGAGCGCGAGCAGGGAGCGGGAGCGCGCTGACGTGTCCCGGAGCGTGCGCCAGATCGGCCGCGACCTGCGCCGCATCGCCGACGAGCTACACGCCTCCCTGCCGCCGGTGAGAGCGACTGCGGCGCCGCGGGCCGGCCGCGCTGCGACGCCCGACCTCGGTCGGTGTCGGCCGGGCCGTCGCCCGGTCCGGTCCGCGCAGCCGCTGCCTGAGTGTGTGTGCCGGGAGTGCTGGGTGGCTGTGCGGGGAGAGCAGGCCTGAGCTGTGTCCGTGACGCCGCGGGCGCGAGCTGTGCGGCCGCCGGCCCGACGCCGCCTGGCTTCGGCGCTCAGACGTGCGCCGCCGCATGCCGAGAACCGCGTTTACCAAACAGACGCGTTCGAGACTCGAATGCGATGCACACCCATGAGGGGCCGACGTCTCCGACGTAACTCGAGCTGTCCGCGTTCCACAGAAGCCGGGTAAGCCGGGCGCCGGCGCCGTGCTGGACGCGGCCGGTGCCGTTGCCGGACTGAAGACGTACGTCACCGGCATCGCAATCGCGTCCGGGCTGGCCGCGCTGCTCCACCGCTTCCTGAGTCAGTAGGCGCTCGGCCACCGCTCCCCGAACGAGCAGAGGCCGGCTCACTCCGGTGTAAATACCGCAAACTGATGGCTGTTCGGAATCTAGTTCGGAAGAAGACCCGTTGATCTCAGTGGACTGAGTCTTAGTGCTTGGGTGATAGTGTGTAGGACGCTCACCGGTGATTGAAGGGAGGCGAAGTAGCTGTGCCCTGTTGTGTTGACGTCAAAATGAGGCAATAGTGGCCTCGAGAACATGTTTAGTAGTTATATCCTTTAGCTCAAAACATTCGTGCGTCGTGCAGTATGGCTGGAGCATTGTATCACTTCGTGGAGGCCTTGCACTCTCTAACGTCTCCCTCTCCCCTCCCTTCCTTTCAACATAAAGCATCAACCGAAAAGCTCACTAAACACTTAAAGTGCCCAAAAGCGTGTTTTTAAGATTTGACCACTGTCCCGAATCCCGATAAATTTGCGAAGTTCCGCTCCAGCCATGCAGCATTTCCACAGTTCGGAAGCGAAATCAAAACATTCCGTGACGCATTCGCGGTAGGCTATGCTGACGTCACAGTTTGATGCGCTGCCAGCTACCTTGTCAAGGCGAGCGCGATGATTGGTGTTTGACGGCAGACGGCTGGCCGCTGCCGATTCGGCTCGCCTCTACCAATGTCTTTCAGTGTTGGCAGTCGTGCGCTGCCTGGCCGTAACGGTCCGGTTGAACGGAGGCAGCAGCGTCTGTGTGGAGCCTGTAAGCAGGCTTCGGCCAGGCACGGCCGACTTTCGTAGAAAGAAGGGGAGGCCACGAGCGTGATTTGTGCCTCGTTTCTTTCCATGCAACACTATGTGGCTAATAGTAAACTTGGCCTGAGCATTGTAAGCAGAAAACGCGCGTCGCGACTGTGTTCGATGGCGTCCGAATGGTGTTCGAGCAATGCTTAGGCTGCAAAAGAACGCGGCACCGGCCAGCGTTTGAACGTCGTGCAGTTACTGCCGGGCAGCAAGTGGCTTGTATATGCTTCATAAATTGTTGTGTTTCGATTTAGAATCGGACGAATGCGCGCGTCGCCGTGCACTGTGTGGCTTTCAGTTGATCTCCGAGTACGTCAGGCCGGCGGACGTTCAGTCTGCCAGCGGTGGTGGTTCTCAAGGGCGCCGGCTGGCGGCGGTGCGGCTTGGCTGCAACCGCGGCCGATAAATGGCTTCCGCCGGGGCCGCGGGCAGACGAAGTCGTCCGCCCTGTTACGTGAGGGCAGACGTGAAGAGCAGCGCTGAGATTCCGGACGTCGTTGTCGGTGGGCGAGATTCACTCGGCGCTGGGACCCGATGTCGCTCGTCTTTCGTGTTGTGTACTGCTCCGGCAAGTGCCTCGCTGACCCTGACTCTGACTCGGCTCGGAGTCGGTCGGGGGCCCGTCGCGAAGAGGTCTCGTGCGCTACTTGACGTCTTTCACGTGTGGGAACCAGGGTGCCGTTGGAGGCGTGAGGCGCTGGCGCTCGTGCCGTGCAGTTTTGGCAGCCTGTCCCGAATGCGACGCTGACCACGCGTGGCGCGGTAGTGGTAGGGCATCTGCGCGAGGGGAACGCAGCGATGGCAGGAGGCCCGACCATGCGCTCCTTCGCGGCGGCTGCTGCTCGGTGGACTGTGAACGCCTTCACAGGTAAACGCCTTCGCAGGTGATCGTGTGAACGCCTTCGCAGGTGATCCGCGATGTTCGATCTTGATTTGTACATATGCCCGTGTAAATAGCGTGCCATTGATACATTTATAGATTCAGTACAATACACATACAAAACGCACAGCATTCTATGCTCCGAACGTCATTGAGAGGACGGACGGAAAATAGTATCGGAGGCTTGTTCGACTCGGTAAACCGCTTCGAATTCATTGGGCTGCATCGACAGTGGATCAAGCCAAGATGCATCGCATGGCGACACACGATCGCTGTGATGCCGCCAGCTCCCGGGCAAGAGGTCGGTAAGGTGCTGTAAGCTGGTTTGCAGGCACTGTAAGCTTCCTCACAGTACTCACAGAGCATGCAAGGTATACATACCTTAACATGATCAACGATGAATGATCCTTAAATGAAATGATCCTTAAAACTCGCTTTGCTCCGACGCCCTCGGCCGATTCACATTGCTGATGGCCAGTGCCTACTATGGCTACTACGGATACTATGGCCATCAGCCATGAAATTTTTCAGCAACCAAGTTCTTGGTGACCAGAATTTGGTTGGTCTAAAGGCATGGGCTGAAGAAACGCCCATAAATGGTTTCGTTTAAGTATCAAAACTTGTTCTTAGTTGGGCACACTTGGATTACCTATTGCATGTTAATGGAATTGCATGAAAACATTCTTTTCCTTGTCAGGGTATTTAATGCCCTCATAAAAAGTGCACCGTAAACCGAACTTTCTTAGAAGTATTTAAAAAATAAAGATTTTTAAGACTTTTCTGTGCATTCATTCATCATTAAAGCGGCTTTTGCACGGTCCCGCTCCAGACAAAAAATCACAACTTTGGCGCTTGATCTCAGGGAGGAATGCCTTGATGATAAACCTCTGATCATTCTGCCAGAGGCGTAGTTTTGCCAAATGAGTTCAGGCAGATGAGAGGGGGGGGGGGGAGGTGGAGCAAGGGAAAGTGAAGGAGCCTATCTTCAAAACGTCTTTAGATGGATTTCTCCCCGGACTGGATCCACTTTCTTCCAAAGTCGCGAAGTGGGCTGAAGCCCCCTCCCCCCCCCACCCCCCCCTCCCAAATAAGAAACTCTATCTGCGCTCGGCACTATGAGTTCAGAGTTCACGTGTAATATGTTCCGCTATCACGACAATGGTTTCGTGCGCGCTGCAGTGACCAGCCAGTGGCCTCAGGCGCTAAACGCTCCCAACTCGAGCGAAAGGACTTCTCACACAAGATGGGACCTGCTCCTATTCATGGAAGTCAGTATAATTCGGTTAAGTATTCAGTATTCAGTAAGTATAAAAAACCGTTGCTGCAACGGGCTAAACAAGACATAGTGATAGCTATGAAAATTACTGGTTTCTTGAACTATTTACGCTGTGCATGGTGTTATAACAGTCGATGCCTGATGCACCTAAATTTAACGCAAATCATGTGAAGTTTCTGGCTTTGAATTGGTGACTAGAACTGTTATGGCTTTCGAAGAATTCAGTGGTGGCGCCAGCCCCCCAGGTAAATTAGGCACTGAGCCAGGACCTGGCCATCCAGGCAGGTGCATAGCTATGCGTGCCTTTCGTTTCACGCTCTGAAATGGCTCTCAGCTCTTCGAATTGCGTAATCCGCTCACTATGGACGCCACAACACATATGATGGGAAAAATCTCATTTGTAACGATTGGTGTGCTTTTACGTGCAAAAGACTTTTCAAACTCACAAAATATACTTACTTAGTGACTATGCTCCTAAATTTATCATCGTTTAGTTACATTGTGGGTCGCTTTAAGGAAGTCAGAGTCGCTGCCAGTCTGGCTGTGACAGAATCGCCGCTGTAGCGGACGGGCTGACTCACTTGTAGTGTTTCAGCTGGCCGAGAGGTGGCTTGTTAACTAGCTGCGTGTTTCATGAACCCGAATATTGTTATGGACACGTGTTTACTGAACCTGGATATCGCTATGTACGCGTGTTATAGCACTTTCTTACTGTGATCGCATATTTGTGTGTGATTTGACATTTGCCACATGTACTCACTTGCTCTTGGGACGGTTAAGACGTTAATCGATTATCCGTCTCATTTCCGACATAACTAGAACATTACCCAAATCCCTACATTGTATAGCACAAAACGTGATTCGTGACTGATCGTCCACCCTTTCATTTTCTTTCTCGCTTTGTCCTGAACTTTCGCGACGCCCCGCTTGCCCGGGGCAGGTTGCATGCGCCAGCCACGAGTGCGCCAAAGCGTCTCCTGATGGTGACCTCCGTCCAAGCGTCGAGCACACACCTCGCAGAGGGGTCCCTGCGCGGATTAAGTCTCGGCGGATGGGCTCCCAAGTGCATGTTGTCCTACCCACCGTGATCCATTTTCCTTCATCCCATCGTCCCGAAACGGCCATTGACTGGCCGAAGTGGCTCGATTGCAAATAACCAAATAGCCAAATCATGTTCGAAACTTAAATTCGGTGCGTTTAACTGGTTGAAGTCCAACTGCTGTCCGCCGCTGTCACGAATCGCACTGACCTACGCCAGACACCAATAGTTCGATAACCATATTTTTATAAGCCCTGAGCACTGCGTGGCCACTCAGCAAAGCGGTTTTCGCACTACATTTCTATGACGTCATGCGTGCCTGGGTGCCCTTCATAAAGGCTATACGAGTTTGCCCGCCTCAAGCTCAGGAACATGGGGGTTTGAAGTAAAATGAAGGACCGTTGCATTGAAAGATTGTCGAAGTGGCTACCTCATCTCAAAACCTCATGCAAATGTGGCAAAACTCCCTTTAACGCACCGATGTCTTCAGACATCTTGGCCGGAATGTGACTTCTAATCAAAACTTTTGGCCAAAAATATTGGTTCACAGTAGCTCAGGCAGTCTTGTCGCCCAGGTTTTCCGCGCGTAGTCCGGCCATATTTATAAAATGGCAGACCAAAGTACAATGTTACCAAAAAAGCATAACGTGATATTCATGTTATTATCAAGAAGTTAAGTCTTTTCTAGTTGAATTTGTTCAAGCCATTCGATGGTCGTATGGGTAGTTGATAATATATCTAGATAAGTTGAGGATATTGAATATGTTGGAATATGCCGTAGTGATGAAACGTTTACCACGACCAAAAGTTAAGAAACACTTTTGAACCTGTACTTAAGTGACCCCTGAAACGCGTTTAGGCAAAATCTACGAATTTCGTTAAAGACGCACGTTTAATTAAAATTACATTAAAATTAAAACAAAGAACGGCTCATCCTCTCGCGGTCTGCATCCCCCATCCCAGGTCATCGCCCATGGGTCTTGAATCGTATGTGCGTCTGCACGGCGGGCGCGTCTTGACCCATAATGACCTTGACCCTCAACGCTGACCCATAATCTGAGCTCCTCGCTGCGCCTCAGCCGTGCCTCCCACCACGCTGATTCATGGCGGCCGGCGCAGGTCGGTCGCACACACACATCGGCCGGCCGGTGTGGGGAGAGGCCCGGCGGGTACCCAACCGGCCGGCCTCGCGCCCATGCGTCACGCGTCTGCTGCCGATCACCCCGCCCACGTCCGCGGCATGTTCACACCTCAGGCAGTCCCCGCCCACACTGAACGGTGCTACTAGCAGGGGAGTGATCACTGATTCGGCGCGTGGGGGGGACTGGGGACAAAACCTCCCAATTTTTCTGTCATGGCTTTTTCCTTGCACAGTGAGGTGTTACGCCGGTAGTTACCTGGCACCATGAGAGGCATACCTGTCGTTACAGGCGCCAGAAGCTTCCTCCCTCCTCCCCTCCTCCCACCCTTCCCTAGACCCACATTTTGCATTTTCGCCATGGCTACTCCCGACAGAAAGCTAAAATTCAGCGTGATGCGTTTTAGCTGAGCCCCTCCCCCCCCCCCCCCGCCTAAGAAAATCATGGTTGCGTCAGCACGATTTCGTCCCATCCCTGTGCGTGAGCTGGGCTTGTTGCGTTGAGATGAGGCAAGCTTGTGGTCGAAAGAAGTCGGACGGCGCAGGGAGCCATGCATCGCACACCTAACCACAAACTCCTCTCCACTCCAAACTCCTCAGCAGCTCACGCTGCGATGACTCGTGTGCCTACCATGTGCATGTGCATGTCATGTGCCTGCCATGTGCACGCCAGGCACATGTGCCATGTGCCTAGCGTGCCGTTGGGCAGGACGTTCCGCGAGGACGACGTGTGCATTTTTTGAAGGGGATTTGTGATTTTTAGATCTATGTTGGTGCTAACTCAAGGTGCCATGGCATTTTGACTCCCCGTCGTGAAGTCGCCTTAACGTCAGACAACCCGCGACCGATTTAATGATATTTCTTAATGTTGCATTTGAGATCATACTCAAGTTTCTAAATGAGATGCCCGCGAAACGTCATTGCGGTCTCATTTTTTTCTGAGAACAAACCAAACAATTATAATCCTCCGAAACTGTCTTTGCATCCATGACAAGTAAAAAAAGCGGAAATAGTGTAATTTCCTTGTTCTTCCTTAATCCGTAACACAAAAAAACATCATTTCCTTAGCCTCTAATGTACCACGACAGTGTAGTCACCACCAACAGAATCCACATTGAGGCTAGCATTTTGCAGAACTCTCACTGTGGAAAGGGCGCATTCCTAGCAAAAGCAAAAGCAAAACGATATCGAATGATTGGGAATAATATGGCAGAGCTTTCTATGCGTTGGACTCCAAAGCTTGTTTTTACCTTAAAACCTGAAAATGATTCGTCAGAACATGAAGCTAGGTAGATTTTGTTCCCGGCGAACATCACCTTTGCGAGTTTGCTCGTCGTGCTGTTTACGGAAGCATCCCACCCTTTTTGCCCACTCTTTGTTAGATCTGATGCGTGCGATTTGATCAGTAATATCAGTTCTCTTGAAGTACCTATGAAAAGCTTAGAATTTCAGTTTAAAGTAACCGCTCCTGCAAGAAAAATATATTTGACTCCTTGTTCGCTACTACGAAAGCAATATATTTCATTTGCGTTGCATTTCCTAACGTGTGTATTCTGAAAGGTTTGCATCACACTAATGTATCAAAATGTGTGGGTGATATATGCTACGAAAGATTGAAACACTGCTTATTCAAAAACACATGCGAGCATGAAGCTGTTATGCCGGGAATTTAAC